TTTTTTATGATAGTCATATATATCATTTGGGGGGGGGGGGCTTCTGAAGGTACTGTCAGAGAGTTGCTAAGGAACCTAAATGAGATTATATTGTGGTTCCTGATGATGTGCATTAAATAGAATTACAGTTAATAAGGTAAAACCCTCCATCATAAGGATTGCGCAAGAGAGTTAAGCTAGGTTTTTACTGTAAACAGTGTTTATAATTATATTTGAGAGCTCCCCAAAAGTTGCAGGTTTGAATCTAGGAAAAGATTAAGGCCATACTCAAGGTCATGTGTGCTCAAGCCTTAAGCATAGTTCATTGCTATTTTAACGTTTTTTTTTGGGGGGGGGTTGAAATTTTTATTGAAGTTTTGTGTATTTCATACAGAACATCTTAACTTTGTACCCCCTTCCCCATTGGTACCTACCCATACCCCACACACACACTGGAATTCATACATTCTGTCATTTGTGTTAAGGCCTATCATGTCAAGTTAGTGTCCCCAAATGTCCTTCAGTGCAAGTTTGCCCACTGAGGTCTAGTCAACCTATCTAGAATCCCTCTCTTTAAGAAAATCAGCTCTTCCTCGCCCAGCATTAATCAGCTGCCAACAATTCGTTGAATAAGCTTGGGCCTGCTGCCCGTTTCCACAGTTCTGTGCTGGGTTTTTGTCTGCTTGCATTTGTATGGACAGCATTAATCAGCTGCCAACAATTCGTTGAATAAGCTTGGGCCTGCTGCCCATTTCCACAGTTCTGTGCTGGGTTTTTGTCTGCTTGCATTTGTATGGATCTTGTGCATGCTGACACCATTGCTGTAGGTTCATATGAGAAGGGTCCCAGGAGCCTATAGAGCTCTATTTCCCTATGGTCATGTACCCCCTCCCTGGTTCTTACAGTTTTTCCAGCCATTCTTCCACAACAGTCCCTGAGCCCTGGGTGGGTGAATTTTAATATAGGAGTCCTGTCCAAGGACCACACTCTATAGACTCTTATTCTCTACGTTTTGACCATTTGTGATCTTTTGTGTTCCTGATCCTCTGTTGCATAAGGGAGCTTCATTGATGAGAACTGAAAGATACATTATTGTTCTCTTTATCCCTTGTTCTATGTTCCGTGATGAGCCTTAGGTGTAGAGATTGTATTGAAGATGAGCCACTTAGCTTGGGCAATTCACAGACAATCTCTGTATGACCAGTTGTAGAACTCTGTAAAATCTCTGTCAATTTTGACTTTCTTTTTTGAATATATTTTTATTAAATTTTTGTGTATTTCAAACACATCTTAGTCTTCTTTATATCCCCAATCAGTACCCTCCCATAGCCCCTCCCCCCACTAGATTTCATGTATTCTGTCATTTATGTTAAGGCCTATTGAGTCAAATTAGTGTCCCCTGATGTCCCTCAGTGTAAGTTCATCCAGTGAGGTCTAGTCAGCCTATCTAGAGTCACTCCCTTAAAGAAAATCAGCTCTTCTTCACCCAGTAGTAATCAGCTGCCCAGTAGTTCTTCAGCTAAGATTGGGGCCTGTTGCCATTTCCAAATTCTCTGCTGGGTTTTTGTTACTTGAGTTTGCATGGATCTTGTGCATGCTGTCACCATTGCTATAAGTTTATATAAGCAAGGTCCCAGGAGCTTGTAAGACTATTTCAATATAGTCATGCACCTCCTGGCTCTTAAAATCTTTCCACCCTTTCTTCCACAATGGTCCCTGAGTCCTGAGTTCATTGCCCTCTATTGTGTGAGGGAGCTTCATTGATGAGAGTTGAGAGATGCATTAGTAATCCCTCTACCCCTTGTTCCACTATGTTCCATGAGTGTTAGATGTAAAGGTTCCACTGTAGATGTGTCACTTAGGGTTGGGCATTTCACAGGCACTTAATCTCTGTGAGTGAGCAATTGAAATATCTCAAGTAAAAGGAGTATTTTCACTTTGTAGGCAGCCTTCACATCACATGTTTTTAGTGGTGCTAGAATTCTTGATTCTCAGCTGATGAGAGATCAGACTGCAGAGGAAGGGCTCCCTCCCCTCCCTTTCCCCCTCCCTTCCCCTTCCCTTCTTCCCTTCATTTTCCACGTCTTTATGTCCTGCCCCAATTCCCCCTCTTAAGCTTAGACTCTTTGATCATAAGTGTTGATGGTGGCTGAAGATCCATTTTCTTTAACTTTGCTGCTGAACAGGGACACAGACCCTGCCTATCCAGAGATGGAAAGTCTCAACCTGTCTAATGTAGGGCAGACGTGAGAAAGTCCAGGCTTGGAGAATACAGGGTCATTCAATGGGAGTCAGGACATCTAACCACACACACAGTACAACAGAATATTGTGCCTGAGTCTAAGATTAGCACAAGATAAAATATATTAAAGCCTCTCTTCCATGAGCTTCTGAGAATTATGATGTTAGCAATTCATTAAAACTTAAGGCAGTAAGCCTGCAAGGTAACTGAGCAAGTAAAGGTGCTTGCTACCAAGTCTTGATGATGAGTTCCATACCTCGGATTCTACATAGTGGAAGAAGAGAATCAACTCCCACTAGTTGTCCTTTGACCTTCATGCACTCACACACACACAGAGATTAATGTAATTATAGGTTAAGGCAGAATTTGATTAACTTGGAGGACTAAAGACCCATATTGTCCCATATGTCAGGTATGTATACACACAGCACTCTAATAATTAATGGTACAAGTTCCCTTGTGCAACTGTGAGTCCCCTTGGGTTGTAATAAAACATACTGATAAATAAGATAGGAGGGATGGAAGGAGAGAAGGAAACATAAAGAAGGAAGGAAGGAAGAACACAAATAGCAATTCTAAGAAAGAATCCAGCAGCAGAATGGATTAAAAGGAAATAATACAAGATTGTTCTCACTGAGTGCACACTACACCAACAGCACCTAAAGGGAAAGTGTAGCAAACAAAAACTTAAAGTAAGGTTGCAACTACTATTAGGTACATGAATGGGACTCCTCTTCATACTTAAGAAATTAAGATGCCTTTTTCTCATGTTGAAGAGTTTTTGTTGTTTTTTTTTTTTTTTGTCTTTTTGAGACACGATCTCCTTGTAGCTCCAGCTGTCCTGGAACTCACTATATAGACCAGGCTGGCCTTGAACTCACAGAGATCTGCCTGCCTCTATCTCCCAAGTGCTGGGATTAAAGGCGTGCGCCACCATGCCCAGCATGAAGAGAATTTTTAAGGTTTTTTTTTTTTAAATAGTATAAGTGACTTTATCTTGATGATATTCTTAAAACTGTAGAGTGTCAAAAAGATTTTATTCTAGGAGAATAACTTCTTAAGTTCTTTCAATCTGGATGGGGTAGCCCTCTTCATCCTGCAGTGCTTCAGAGATGTTTGAAGAGGTTGGCCTTTACTGGAAGAATGGAGAAAGGGAGACTGTATGCAGTGTAAGAAGGGAGATACAGAGTTGGCACCTGTGGTCATCTTCTAATAGCTTCTTTTTCATCAAAAATAACATCTTGTAGTACTTGTAGGAAAAGATAAAGGTTTGAAGGAGTAGAAGATGTAAAATAATCATCCGAGAGAGAATGGATACAGGAGACATGGTTATCCACACGAGACCAGGCACCATTACTATGTGTCTCTTTAGATGCTTTCAGCTGCAATGCAAAAGAGTTTGAGAATTAGACTTGCCTGCTGGTAGTTTTGCTGATTTTGATGAAACAAGAAGAGGAAAATTGAAAGAGAAAATGAAGCAAATGTAGACTTTAAATCTGGCAGTGGAAGTCAGGTATGGTGATGCACAGCCTTTAATCCCAGCATTAGGGAGGCAGAGGCAGGTGGCTCTCTGTGAGTTCAAGGCCAGCCTGGTCTACATAGTGAGTTCCAGGACATCTGGGGCTACGGGGAGACTGTCTCAAAAAAGACAAAAAAAAAAAAAAAAAAAAAAAAGCATATCTGGCAATGGAGAGAGTACACGAGAGCCACACGTGGAAGGGCAAACAGGCAGTAGTTTCTAGTGGAGTCTGAGGCTTGTTGGAGTCCAGTTACTCAGGAATTCCCTGGAGATTTGGTTTTGGCCAGAGAGTTAAATGCTAGTGATTAAGATGGATGTGAGGCAGTTTGCAGTTGACAGTGCAGGGTGTGACTGTTGGGAGTGGGTAGCTGAAGTTGTATAGAAGAAATATGGTACAAGGGTATGGTAGAATAAAATGAAAGTTCAGGTGAGGGTTAAGAGTGATTTGTAAGCCCGAATTATATGATCCATTCTAGCTCAGACCAGAGTTTACTTTCTCACTCTGAAGGCATTTTAACGACCAATGGATATTAGGAAGCAGTTCACAGCTTCTGCCTCAGTGTTTGCTGTGGTGTCAGGCCTGTAGGAAACCTCTATAATTGTTAGCTACCCAACTGTCTTGATAATCGTTATTTCTGGAAATCAAGTGAAGCCTTCCACTTTGTTTGGGTTCTCATCATGTGTGCTCTATCCCTGACAGCAGTTCCTCCTCTGGCTACCAACACTGTGTCTCCATCCCTTGCTTTGCTGGCAAACAACCTGTCTATGCCTACAAGTGACCTACCACCTGGTGCCTCCCCAAGGAAAAAGCCTCGAAAGCAGCAACACGTCATCTCAACAGAAGAAGGGGATATGATGGAGACAAATAGCACTGATGACGAGAAATCTACTGCCAAAAGCCTTTTGGTGAAGGCTGAGAAGCGCAAGTCTCCTCCCAAAGAATATATTGGTAAGGGCCACTTAGGCTAATTGTCTCCTGGCCCTTCTCACTTAAATTGGGAATCCATCCCAGAGTGTCCGCTTTACTTGCAGTTAATTTACTGGAATTGAATTTTGAAAATTATTGAAAATATATACAATTTAATGTCTTGTCTTCTTCCCTTTTGAATAGATGAAGAAGGTGTGAGGTATGTCCCAGTGCGGCCCAGACCTCCCATTACTTTACTTCGTCATTATCGGAACCCTTGGAAAGCTGCTTACCACCACTTTCAGAGATATAGTGATGTCCGAGTTAAAGGTTAGTTTCCCCAGAAACATTCAGTTTTAGTGTTTGAATGAGGGTAATATTTAAGTTATATTGTAATCAAGTGGTTTTTTGGGGGTTTTTTTGTTTTGGTTTTTTTTTTGGTCTTTTTGAGACAGGATCTCCCTGTAGCCCCAGCTGTCCTGGAGCTCACTATGTAGACCAGGCTGGCCTTGAACTCACAGAGGTCCGCCTGCCTCTGCCTCCCAAGTGCTGGGTCTACAGGCGTGCACTACCACGCCCGGCTGTAATCAATTTTTTTTGTTGTATGGTTTGTTTTGGGAGGTTTTGGGGGGCTGGGGATCTTTTTGAGACGGGGTCTCTCTGTAGCCGCAGCCAGCCTAGAACTTGCTGTTGTAGACCAGGCTGGCATCAAACTCAGAGATTCACCTACCTCTGCCTCCTGAATGCTGGGATCAAAGGTGTGTGCCACCATGCCCAGCCCTTGTAGTCAGATTTATAAAAAGTCACAGAATCACAGTTCGCTAATTTTCAACAAAAATGTGTGCTATCCAGTTGAGTATAACATTTGAAAATTATTCTTTGGGATACTTAAATAAAATTCTTTGGAATCCCAATGAAATGGATAAGTAAAGGATACAACCTTGGTTTAGATAAACTGTGTGTTAACAGCTCCCCAGATGCTAATGCACTAAACTCCTTAGTCCCCCAAGTACTCCTAGTACTCATAGCTGTGGTTACACTGCTTTTTTGACAATGCATTGCACAGTAGTTGCTAAGATGTACATGCATTCTAAGTATTTTTTTTCCAAAAGACCTTTCATTCAACCTACATGTAAAGCACTTGAAATGAGCTAGGGTAAACCTCCAATATTTTGTTTTGTTGTGAACCTGAGAGTAACATTTTGATAAACCCACATTTAATGAAAATGGTTGATAAACTTTGCAAAAACTCTGCAAAAGTTAAAAGTACTTGATGAGCTGGGTATGATGGTGCACGCCTTTAATCCCAGCGCTTGGGAGGCAGAGGCAAGCAGATCTCTATGAGTTCAAAGCCAGATGAGACCCTGTCTCAAAAAAGGAAAAAAAAAAAAAAAAAAAGGTACTTAATGAATTTTTAAATGTCATTCATCTCAGATATAATAAATGCACAAAGAACTGTGCATTTCCAGTAAATTGGTCGTCTTGTTCCTTCTCTTGATAAATTCAGCTTGGAAACTTCTATAATAGTTTTCCTGAGGCTTCAAGATGAGTCCAGTTTAAAGAGGTCACTGACTTATGTCAATGAGCAGGGATGGAGATGGTAGCATCTTAGGCTCTATATAAGTCCAGGTCACATATATAAAATAGCATAGTGTTTGCATGTAACCGATATATGTTCTCCCATGCACCAATCATCTCTAGATTACTGAGATAGTTAATACAATGTAAATTCTATCAGTTACGTTTCTTGTTCCTGTGGTAAAAATACCTGGCTAAAGCAGCTTAAGGAAATAATGTATTTTGACTCCCAATTCGAGGGTACAGTTCATCATGGCCAGAAAGAGAAGGCAGCTGACACAGCTGTTAGGTATAATGGCAGGAATGGGAGGGCTGCTTGCTTATATCACCACTGATCAGAAAGCAGAGACCAGGACAGACAGACAGACACTGACCAGGCTCTAAACCACAAGGCCTAAACCTATTGGCTCACTTTCTCCAGAAAGGCTCTCCCTCCTAACAAGAGTGAACAAACTTGACTCTGCAACACAAAGTTGTCATCTACTACAAAATTCCTACTCATGAACTGTACAATCAAGTTATAAAAAAGCCTCCTAGCCAGGTGTGATGGCACTTGCCTTTAATCCTGGCAAGTGGGTCTCTATGAGTTCAAGGCTAGTCTGGTCTATATAAAAAATTGCAGGCCAGCCAGGACAATATAATAAGATCCTATGTTTTAAAAAGTCTAGTATAAGTTTATAATTTTGCATTAGGCTACATTCATAGCTCTCTGAGGGCACATGTATCCCTCGTGCCATGGGCTGTACATGTCATGCTTTGAGGTTCCACAATCTCCCAAAACAGCCCCACCAGCTGGGGATCAAGTGTTCAAACACATGAGACTGAGGGCTGGTAAAGTACTTATCTAGCCTGCAGGAGACTCTGGATTCATTCCCCGGCACCATATAAAACCTGGTATGACTCATGCCTGTAATCCCAGTACTTGAGAGGCTGAGACAGAAAGATTTATATGTTGTAGTCCAGTTTGGGCTACACAGCAAGTACAAAGCCAGCCTGTGACTGTTTCAAAAAAAAAAAGGGGGCCAGGGCCAGGCATGATGGTATATACCTTTAATCCCAGCATTTGAGAGACAGAGGCAGGTAAATCTCTTTAAGATTGAGGCCAGCCTGGTCTACATAGTAAGTTCCAGACCAGGGATACAGGGAGCCCTGGGCCCAAAAAAAAAAAAAAAAAAAAAAAAAGCTTGATCCTATCGAGGATATTTCACATTCAAACCATAACAAAAATGTTGCATAAATAGTTGATATAGTGTATTATTTAGGGAATAATGACAAGGAAAAGTGTCTGCACATATTCAGTACAGACACAGGCTTTTTTCTTTGTAAAATACTATCGCTCTATAGATGTAGAACCTACATACTCAGAAAGCCAACTGGGCTGTGAGATTTAAACATAAAAGTGAGATTCCCAGGGATAAGTGTTGATCTTCAGTGAAAGAAATGTCTGCTCAATATCAGAAGAATTCTATGACTATAAAATGTTTTAGGGATTGGCCTGGTAGCATTTTAAGCCATATTAAATAAAGATTCTTACTGCTGATTGAGCCTCACTTTTCAAAAACTATCTCAGGGAAAGTAACTTGATAGGTAATTTATCTTCCCTGATGTCTCTATTTGGTTATAAACCTACAAATCATGAAGCCTGTTAAATTTAGTTAAACTACTTGGCCCAAACTTTGAAATCATATTCATACAAATAAATCACCACAGAATGCTGGAAAAGCCCATCAATAGGAAATCAAAGTAGAAAGGGGGCAGATAAGAACACAGGAAATAAGCCAAGCATGGCGGTGCATATCTTTAATCCTGGCACTTGGAAGGCAAAGGCAAGTGGATCTCTTGTAAGTTCAAAGCCGGCCTGGTCTACATAGCAAGTTCCAGGCCAGCTGGGACTACAAGGATATCCTGTCTCAAAAAAGACAACAACAACAACAAAAAAGAACACAGGAAATAACATGACAGACTTTAAACCTTAACATATTCATATTTTCCCTAAAGAAAAAAGTCTAGGGATTGAGGCTGTAGCTCAATTAATAGAGTGCTGCCTAGCATTCAATCCCCAGCACTACATAAACCAGGTAGGGTGATACACACACCTATAATCCCAGCACTCCGGGAGGATCTAGAGTTCAAGGTCATCCTTTCCTACACAGTGAACTTGAGGGTACATGAAACCTATCTCAATTTTTTTTTTCTTTTTTGTCTTTTTGAGACATGGTCTCCCTGTAGCCCCAGCTGGCCTGGAACTCACAGAGATCTGCCTACCTCTGCCTCCCAGGTGCTGGGATTAAAGGCATGCGCCACCACGCCCGGCTTTTTTTAAAGGTGCAGGAGAGATGGCTCACTGGTTAAGAGCACTGGCTGCTTTTGCAGAGGACCAGGGTTTGATTCCTTGCACTCACATGGCAGCTAACAACTGTAACTCCAATTTCAGGGGATCCATTGCCACCTTCTGACCTCTGTGGGCATTGTGCAACACAAGTACATTTACATACATGCAGGCAGTACCCTCATACATATGAGAACCTGTCACCAAATTTTATATATATATATATATAAACATATATATTATTTAATAAAATAACTGCAAGTAACCACGGTGTTCTCAAGAAGCTGAAAAGCTCTTTCAAGTCATGTTGATGGTTGTATTTTTGACATTTTCCAACTAAATTTTTTTTTTTTTTAATGAATACACTTTTAGAGGAGAATTGGGTTCACCTTAAAAAAGAGCTTGAGGCTGGAGAGATGTCTCAGCAGTTAAGAGTACTGACTGCTCTTGCAGAGGACCCGGGTTTGATTTCCAGCATCCACATGGCAGCTACAAACCATCCTTAACTCCAGGGGAATCTGAAGCCCTCTTTCTGACCTCCACGGCATTGCATGACACAGGTGCACTCACATACATGCAAGCAATCCGCTCACACACATAAAATAATAAATAAAATATTTTTAAAAAAAAAAAAAAGAGCTCTAGTCAGGCATGGTGGTACCTGCCTTTAATCCCAGCACTCAGGAGGCAGAAGCAGGCAGATCTCTGTAACTTCAAGACCAGCCTGGTCTACATAACGAGCTCCAGGCCGGCTGAGGCTACAGGGAGACCCTGTCTCAAAAAGAGAGAGAGAGAGAGAGCCCTAATACACTCTGATCTTCTAATCTCCATATAGTTCTGAACTCTGAACTCCCAGCACAGTTTGCCAATAGAACTAAACTCTCCTTTGACAGCTGTCTATCAAACTGAACTGTCTCTTCCCAATCTTGGTCATACATGTCGTATTTATTTTACTGTATATCTGTCTAGTCATTGCTCTTTTCTGTCAGATTTGAAATATAATTCCCATTTGATTGATTGGCTTTCTCCAAAATGTAGGTAACTCCAGAAATCTAGAACTTCTTGCTCAGCCTTCCAGCTTCACATAAGCCCCACACGGGGAACAAGACTCAGTTTCCCTGAAACCATTTCCCTTTTTCTAAAAGATTAGGATAGTAGCTTGCTCTGCTTCCAATCCACCAAATTAGCAGATATCTTTCAAAGCTTTCTTTGAGCAGATGAAAATACAGAAAGGTTTCATTCATGTTGTTGATCGTTATTCCCCACAACTTTTATATGCAGAGGATTTATTTAAAGATACTTAGAGAAAGAAATTTTAATAAAATATTTATGCTTGAATGATTTCTTTTTTTTCCCTTTGGTCTTTTTGAGACAGGGTCTTCCTGTAGCTCTAGCTGGCCCAAACTCACTATGTAGACCAGGCTGGCCAGAGCTCCACCTGCCTCTGCCTTGCGATTAAAGGCATGTACCACCATGCCCATCAAAATTCACTTTTATAACAAATGAAATATACTCATTTTACTTGTGTATGGTTCCAGAGGAGAAGAAAGCTATGCTACAGGAAATAGCTAATCAGAAGGGAGTATCCTGTCGTGCCCAAGGCTGGAAAGTCCACCTCTGTGCTGCCCAGTTACTACAGCTGGTAGGTACAGTTCTGTCATTTGTTGTGTCATGCCAAAGAGGTGACAAGAAACTGGAGATACCCAACCCTATCTGGCCTCACAGAGATCTCACAGATATCTGTAACTCACAGAGATCTCCCTGTTTCTGCTTCCCAAATGCTAGGATTAAAGATATGGGTAACCAAGCCCTGCTGTAAGAGTTTCTTAGGGCTTTGTAGTGTGGGCAAGGTCCTGAGTTTGAAGCCCTGCAAGGGAAAAATATTTCAATGATACTGAAGTATTGGCCTACTGACATGAATAGTGATAGGATTTGTATGTGTGGCTTAATAGAATTATAGGTACTTCTGTAGCTCAGAGGGTAAAGGGCCAGCCTGGAATACCAGAGGCCCTGGGTTTGATCCCCAGCACCACCTAAAATGAAATGAAGAAAGCACACAGGCCTGTAATCCCAACCACTCCAGAATTAAAGCAGCTATGAATTATATAATTATTATTACATATATTTGTTGGGAGTGTAGGTGCACACATGCCATGGAGGTCAGAAGACAGCTTTCGGGAGTAAGTTCTCTCCTACCCTGTGGTTCTTGAGGATCAAACTCAGTGAAGTCATCAGGCTTGGCTGCAAGCACCTTTACCCCACTGAGCTATCTCTCCAGCCCTAAATTTTAGTTCTGATACCCAGATCCAAAATATATGGAATGGCTGTAATGTGAGACCTAAAATTAAAATTGAATAGTATGTCTTGTCATGACATTTGAAACAAGGGAAGTTTTAAATGGCCAACCTCATGAGTCCCTTCCCCCAACTCTGCTTCTTCAGAGGAGGTTCTGTTAACCAAACAGCCCTCTCACAATGGGCCCACACAGTTCCTGTTTCTCACTGAGTTGTAGGATTCACTGACTGACCAGCTCCCCGGTAGGGCTCAGGCCTTCCTTTAGGAAGCAAGGACTCCTCTCTCTGCAGAGCCTGCCTCTCACAGTCCTTGCTTGTCCATTCTGTTCCTGAGAGCAGCCCTTGTTTGACCCTATCCAGTAAACCGTGTCCTCTTCCCCAGGCCATCAATATCTATACATGAATAGGAGCTGCACTCTTTGTCATCTGTGTAGCAGTGGATCTTACATGATCAGCCAATCCCATGGGACAAAAATCTTTCTCTTATCAATTTAGTGAAGAGGAATTAGTCAAAGCAGGGGCCTCATGAAACTTGCCCATCTTTGGAGTAACAGTGATCTCAGTACCATTGTCTACTGAATAGTATTAATAGTACTAAAACTGTACAAGTCAGGTATGGTAGCACACACCTGTAATCCCAGAATATGGGAGACTGAGGCAGAAGGATCTGTGTGTTAAGCCTGAGCAACATAGCAAGGCCCTATCACAAAAAAGGGGATGGAGGGTTGGGAATGTAGCTCCATTCGTAAAATGCTCATCTAGCATACACAAAGCCAGCGCTGGATAAAATGGGCATACTGACACACATCTGTAGTACCAGCACAATCAGTTCAAGGTCATCCTTGGCTACAAAGCAGATTTGAGATCAGCCTGAAATTCATAAGGTCCTGTCTCTAAAAAGAAAAATCAGGCTGGTATAGTGTTACATGCCTTTAATCCAAGCACTGGGAGTCAGAGACAAGCAGATCTCTGTGAGATTTAGGCCAGCCTGGTCCACATAGCAAGTTCTAGGTCAGCTGGGGCTATAGAGAGACCCTATCTCAAAAATCAAATGGCTGGAGAGAAGGCTCAGCAGTTAAGAACACTGGTCGTTCTTGCAGAAGACCTGGGTTCAAATCCCAGCACCCAAATGGCAGCTAACAACTGTCCGTAACTCCAGTTCCAGGGGATCCAAGAGCCCCTTCTGTCCTCCGAGGGCATTGCTTGCACAACACAGGTGCACTTAGCTACATGCAGACAATACATGCATACACATAAAATAAAAATAATAAATAAAATATTTTTTTTAAAAAAAAACAGAAAAAGCCTAGTACTGTGACTAGCATTAAGTTAGCAGAAAATCATATTTCTTTGAAACTAGTAAAGTTGTTTTCAAAAGAATTGTGTATTCGTTATATTTCAAAGTTATTTTGAAAATGGACTCTGAACCTACAACAAATTGTGAAGTGTGATAGAAAGCATTGTTGACTCATTACTGTTTGTTAAACTTGGAACTTTAGTCCAAACACTTCTCTTTTTCTTTGGTCTTTTTTTTTAAGACAGAGTCTCCCTGTAGCCCCAGCTGGCCTGGAACTCACAGTGTAGACCACGCTGGCCTCAAACTCACAGAGATCCACCTGCCTTTGCCTCCCAAGTACTGGGATTAAAGGTGTGTGCCACCACATCTGGCTCTAAACACTTCTTATGCCATTTTGGAAAATTGACTCCATGTAGGTTCTTTTGCTTGAGATTGACTTGGGAAAGTATCTCTGAGATCACGATGTGCTCCCTCTTGTGTGTTGCAGACAAACCTAGAACATGATGTTTATGAAAGACTTACCAACCTTCAGGAAGGGATTATCCCAAAGAAAAAAGCAGCAACTGATGATGATCTGCATCGAATAAATGAGCTAATACAGGTTTGATGAGCCCCTATTCAGTCACTATAACATCTTGACTTTCCCATTTCCCTCCCACAACCACCAGCCTCTTTTGTACAAACTTATCATTCACTTCAGATTGCATTACCAGGAGACACTCAGACATTTTCTTTGTTTTGTTAAGATTTATTTTTTATTTATATGTGTGTGCCACATGTGTGCAGTACCCACAGAAGCCAGACGAGAGTATCAACCTCTTGGAGTTGGAGTTAGAGGTGGTTGTGAGCACAGCAAAGCAGTCTTAACTGCAATACCATCTCTCCAGTCTTTTTTTTTTTTTTTTTTTTTTTTTTTGATCTTTTTGAGACAGGGTCTCCCTGTAGTCCCAGCTGGCCTTGAACTCACAGAGAGCCACCTGACTCTGCCTCCTGAGTGCTAGGATTAAAGGCATGTACCTCCATGCCCAGCCCTTTTTCATGTTTTTTATTAGCATGTATTAATTATGCATAACAGTGGACTTCGTTATGACATTTTCATGCATGTACATATTTTGATTATAGCACCCTGTTATCCTCCTTGGTCCCCCCCAACTCCTGCCAATTCCCTCTTTCTCCATTAGTTAGTTCCCCTTCTACATTAGTGTCTATTTTTAAGATTTTATTTTTGTTTTATGTGTATGAATGTTTTGCCTGTATGTATGTAAGTGCATCATGTGCATACCTGGTGCCTGAGGAGGCCAGAAGAGGGTGTCAGATCGGGAGTTAAGGATGGGTGCTATCCACCATGTGGGTGTTGGAAACAAGCCCAGGTGATCTTAATTGCTGAGCCATTTCTCCAGCCCCAGTGTAGTCTATAGAGTATGTATGTGTGTGTGTGTCCCAGTAAGTTTCATTGAGATTTTTTTTTTTTAATGTATAGGAGCATGAGTGGGTATTTGTTTATAGAAACATGTACCTTACCAGTGAGCCTGTACATCTCAACCACAGGCTTTTGATCAAGTTCAAAGTACCAAACATGATGAGTTCCCTCTTGTGGAGCAGACCTCAAATCTAATCAGAAAGCAGTTCTCTACCCCCATACTAGACTTGTCACTGTTGCACCAGTAGGCTCATTTTGCCTGGTCAGTTAGTATTGCTGCACACAGAGTATACAGATAAGTAAGACTATTGATGATGATTCTCCCTCAGCAACCTGCATAGCAACTTCCAACACTAGAAGGGCTATCCAGCAAGAAGTCCAATTCCAATTTGATTGCCTTATGAGTTGTGTGACCTCTTCAGCAGCAGTCTTCCCAGCTAGTTCTGATGAGGACCTCAGGGTCCTCCCTAGCTAAGAACTCATAGGAGGATAGCCCACTCAGCCATGTTCTGTATGGAATGCCTCTGTCCAAAGTAAGCAGTTCTCTAAAAGCCATGTTTTCCCTATGACCTTCAGGTGATGATGTACCTTCTTACGTTCCAGGGAAACATGCAGAGGTGTAAACTGGTGATGGACCAAATCAGTGAAGCCAGAGACTCCATGCTTAAGGTTTTAGATCATAAAGATCGGGTCCTGAAGCTCCTCAACAAGAATGGGACTGTCAAGAAAGTGTCAAAGTTGAAGCGAAAGGAAAAAGTGTAGACCTAGAAGAATCAGGACTTGGAAACAGAATTTATGAAGAATGACAATGTGGGTGGGGGGGAGGGCTTTGGCTACTTTCACAATGGAACATTGACATGTAGGACATTTTCCTTCATTGACTGGAGGAAGCAGAGGGACCCAGAGCATCCAGTGGCACAGAAGGATCAAAACTGAGCTGACACAGTGAGCAGGCTCCTCTAGGCTCATCCCTGTTACTCCTGCCCTGTCTTCAGTGACTCCTGATACTTGTTGACACAGATGACCCAGCTGGGAGTTTCAGACTTTCAGTCCATAGACTGCAGGACCCATACTGAGCCTGAACTGAAAGTATCCACTAGGACCATCTGTTATCTCTCTGCACTAAAAATAAAACCTCTTCTCACCCCAGTCAGTTCTTCTGTTTAACCTTCAAATGCCTGTTAGCCTTCTGCAGTGGTGCCACAGTACCCAGAGAGCTGCCACATCTCACACAAAAAGGTTCCAACCATCAATTCTGGTCAGTTTTTTTTGTTGTTGTTTTTTTTTTTTTTAAAGAACCATTTCCAAGTGAAGTTGTTAGGTTGTCTGCCCTTCATGTATCAGAACCAGATTTTTGTGGCTAATCAAAGCAGGCAACACTAAGCTGTTCTGAGGTCCTGTTCTGGAGTACATTCTCAGTTATCTGTACTTCCTGCTGGTGTGATGCTGTTAATCGTATGTACCATGCATCTCGAAATGTTAATAAAGGACTTGAAGAGGTTTTTGTACATGAGCGGTTGCCTCTTTCTAAAGAGCATTACTAAAGTGTTCACCCTTGCTGTGCTTTCTTACACGTTATTGAGTCTCTTTGGTTAAAATGTTGTTATTCCACATTGAGTTCCACTTAACCCAGTAATCTGAAGATGTTTCAGTTCTTGGTTGTATTAAATACAAGCCTGATATAAATTGGTCAAAGCATACGACTGTTAAGGCAACAACACTGCGGAGAGAACTTCCAGGCAAGTGGATTCTTGTCATGGGATCATGCAGACTTCTCTGAACTAATCTGAATAGTATGACAGTCTATTCCTTTATTTTCTTTTGTTCATTCATTTTTTGAGGGGGGGTTCTCATGCATGTGTTCGCTTGTGTGGAAGTCAGCAGTCAATGTCACAATAATGAGTATCTTTCATAATGTCAAGTATCTTCCTCTACTCTCCACCTTATTTTTATAAACTTATTATCAGTGTGTGTGTGTGTGTGTGTGTGTGCATGCATATGCCTTCACCATGGTGTACATATGGAGGTCAGAGGATAATCTTGTGCAGTTGGTTCTCTCCCACATTTATGTGGGTTCCAGTAACTAAACTCAGATTGTCAGGCTTGTACAGCAAGTGTTTTTACCTACTAAGTCATCTTGCTGACCCTCAATTGTGTTCATGAACATCCACATATGTGTAAGTGCATCCATGTCATACAGCATCTGCAGAGGCCCAAAGAGGGCATCAGATCTCCCTGGAGCATGGACAGTTGTTAGCCACCATGTGGATGCTAGGACTGAATCTGGTTCCTCTGTAAGAGCGGCCAGTGCTCTTAACCACTAGGCCATCTCTCCAGCTTATTCCACCTTATGGGACAGGCTCTGTCACTGAATCATTTTGACTAGACTTGCTGCCCAACAAGCCCTTGGGTTTTGTTCACCTGCCCCCAGCTAAGCAATGGAATTACAGACACATGCCGCCATACCTGACTTACATAGATGTTAGGGATCCAAACTAAGGTCTTCATGCTTATGTGTCAAGCACTTTACCTACTGAGCCTTCTTCCCAGTCCCAGTTTGGGTTCCTTGTATCTACAAGACCAGCCATCTCCTTTCTATGTGACTTCTATGTGATAAGCCAAGAAAGATCGTCTCAGAGCCTGCTGTCTCTGGAGCTGGTTTAGCCACCCTCTTTCCTTAGGGATATGTTTTGAGCTACCAGCTTGGGACTGGAGCCTATCTCTGCCTTCACCTGAATAGAGTTGAAATAGTACATGCCATCTCTGCCTGGGCCTGTGACACGGTACTGTAGCTTACCTGAGACAGCCTTGTCTTAAAAGGGTTTTTATCTGATGTGAGAATGGGGTAGAAAGGAGTAAAGCAGTCTGTCAGCCTTCCTGGATTTGTGTAGCAAGGCTCAAAACCTAAAGCAACTGAGACTGCATCACTGGAGTATTTCGTTGGAACATAGAGCAAACTAAAGAGATCAGACTATGTCCTAGGCAGTCTAAGTGTTCCTTTGCCTCAGTCCAGTCTGTGTGCATTCTGCCCTAGTGAGCACACATGGGTTAGAGCCTACTGAGATTCTGTATTATAGAAATGTATAGAAATGCTAAAAGCATCACTAAACAGAACTTAGACAAGCACTTGGGAAGCTGAACAGAAAGAGATCAAGTTTGAGACCTGAGCTATATAACAAGACCCTCTTTGAAAACAGGAAGCTTGCCAATACAAGCCTTCAAGTCAGTGCAAGCTCAGTGATGTTTCACTCTTCTCTTGCCTTGTGAGGGCAGTTCGATCTGAATGAAGGTGGGAGAAGACGAGTACAGCTCAGCAGGAAGGGTTTGCCTAGAATGTATGAAGCCTCAGTTCCTTATGCAGCATCACACACACACACACACACACACACACACACACACACACACACACATGTTGGGAGAAACAGGACAACTCATATATAGCATAATGGTTTCTGAAAACTATTAAGGAACCATGACCACATCAAAATAGGGAGCCTAGGACTAGAGAGATGTCTGTTCAGTGGTTGAGAGCACTGGCTGCTCTTGAGCGGACCAGAATTTGGTTTCCAACATCTACATTCAGGCTTAAAACCACCTGTAACTCCAACTCCAGGGATCTGATGCTTTCTAGCCTTTGCAGACACCTTCACATGTGTGGCATACACTTAGATACACATACACACAAATGAAAGTAAATTTTTTAAATATTTTACTTTTTATGTGTATGCGTGTATTGCCTGCATGTAGACCCTGCATGTACACCCATGTCGTGCAATGCCCGAGGAAGACAGAAGAGGTTTTCAGATCCCCTGGAACTGGAGTTACGGACAATTGTTAGCTGCCATGTGGGTGCTGGGATTCAAACCCAGGTCTTCTGCAAGAACAACCAGTGTTCTTAACCACTGAGCCATCTCTCCAGCCCCTATTTTTATTTTTTTTAATATTTTATCTATTTTATGTGTATGAGTGTACTGCCTGTATGTGTATAAGTGCACCCATGTTGTGCAATGCCTGTGGAGGTCAGAAGAGGGTGTTGAATCCCCTGTAACTGGAGTTACAGGTGGTTGTTAGCTGCCGTGTGGGTGCTGGGATTCAAACCTGGGTCTTCTGCAAGAACAACCAGTGTTCTTAACCGCTGAGCCATCTCTCTAGTCCCCAACGAAGTGGGGGTGCAGTTTCTCAGTCCCCAAGTCTTATTTACCTCTTGCCTTCATCCCCAGATATTTTTTATTGATTACGGGTGCTTGCATGCTGTGGTGCATCTGAGGAAGTCAGAGAACAAATTGCAGGAGTTGGTTCACTCTTTCTAGTGGGCTCTGGGAAACCTAACTTGTGTGGCAAGCACTTTTTTGGGGGGGGGTCTTTTTTGAGACAGGGTCTCCCTGTAGCCCCAGCTGACCTAGAACTCAGTATGTAGACCAGGCCTTGAACTCTCAGAGATCTGCCTCCTTTGGGGATCAAAGGTGTGCATCACCACGCCCCACTTGTGTAGCAGGCACTTTTATTGACAGAGCTATCTTCTGGCTCCCAGACATACATTAACTGCTTTTTGTCACTCTAAATCAATGTGCATTTTCCAGAATGTTAATAAAATAATAAAAATAAATAATAGTGTGTGCTTTGTTCGGGGAGGGAGTCTGGCTCCTGTTCCTCCGTATAGTGGTCATTTGCATTGAGATTTATTTATGGTACTTGTTTCAGTAGTCCTTGATGGTTATTACTGAGTAGCATTACTTTGTGTGGAGACTGTAAGCTGTTAAATCACCTGTAGAAGGATATTTGGATTACTAGTAGCTTTTGAGTAATACAGGTAAAACTTCTATGTATTTATACTATTTGTATAGATGACTTTAAATATTTTTAAACTACAATTATTTATTTTATGTGTGTGAATATGAGTGCCACTGCACAAATGTGATGAAAGGACAGTGGGAGTCAGTTCTTGTCGTCTACCATGTGGGTTCCAGGGATCAATCTAAGGCAAGCACCTTTACCAACTGAGCCATCTTGCCAGCCTATGCATAACTTTTTAGTTGGTGATTTCATGTTAAGATGTGTTTGCCCCAGGAATTTTGTTTTTCATGTGTGTGTGTGGTGTACATGGGTATGTATATGTATGTTTGTGTGCATGTGGAGGCCCGAGGTTGATAGCAGGAATCGTCCCCAATCACTCTGGCCTTATCACTGAGGCAGAGTCTCAGTCAACCCCAGAGCTCACAGATCATGGCTAGTTTCACTAGCCAGCTTGCTTTGGGAATTCCGTCTCCACCTTCTGAAGCTGGAATTATAGGTGGGCTGCTATGATCACCCAGCATTTTTTTTTTTAAAGAGGGTCTCCCTGTAGTCCCAGCTGTCCTGGAACTCACTATGTAAATCAGGCTGGCTTCAGACTTGCCAGAATCTGCCTGCCTCTGCCTCCCATGTGCTGGGATTAAAGGTATATGCCATCATACTTGGTCCTAGTCTTCAACTTTTGATCCTCTTGCCTCTACCTCAAGAGGAGTTGGGATTACAGGTCTGTGCTACGAGGCCCAGCTGACATAGACATTTCTATACCAGAGAACATGCCACCTTGGTTGGGCATAGATAGCCAGCACCCACATAAAAAAGCCACACACTGCAGCATGGACCTGTAATCCCAACACTGGTGAGGCAGACTGGAGTATCCCTGAGGCTTGCTGGTCAGTCAGCCAGTCCTGCTGAATCTGTGAACGTCAAGATCAGTCAGAGACCTTGTTTCAAAAAACAAGGTGGAGAGGGATTGAGAAAGACACTCAACATCAATCTCTGGTCTACACACGTACACATGCACACACAAAAATGTGAAGTTTGACAAAGAAAAGTGTATGAGGGTTGGAGAGATGGCTCAGCTGTAAATACTGACTGCTCTTGCAGAGGACCCAGGTTCAATTCCCAGCACCCACATGATGGTTATCAACCATCTAACTCCAGTTCCAGGGGATCTGACATCCTCTTCTGACCTCCACAGGTATTGCACAACATGGGTGCATCTACTTACATGCAGGCATTACACTCATACACATAAAAATAATAAACTCCTAGCACTCGGGAGGCAGAGGCAGGCAGATCTCTGTGAGTTCGAGGCCAGCCTGGTCTCCATCCAGGCCAGCCAGGACTACAGGGAGACCCTGTCTCAAAAAGACCAAAAAAGAAAAAAAAAGAAAAGAAAAAAGAAAAGGGGCTGGCCAGATAGCGCAGCGGTTAAGAACACTGACTGTACTTGCAGAAGACCTAGATTCAAATCCCAGCTCTCACATGGTGGCTACAAACCGTCCTTAATTCCAGTTCCAGGGAAATCTAAAGCCCTCTTCTGACCACCACGGTGTTACACGACACAAGTGCACTCACATACATACAGGCAGTACATTCATACACATAAAATAAGTAAATAAAAATAATAAACTAAAAAGAAAAAGAAAAGAAAAGAGGGGGCTGGACAAATAGAGCAGCAGTTAAGAACACTGTTCTTGCAGAAGACCCAGGTTTGAATCC